AATTAGCTCTCCAGCTGTCCAACTCCACTGCAGCATAAGAAAATCTTGATTTCAGTTTGAACATTTAAAAATTATGTAATGTAGTGGAACTTATATTATAGTGCCTACTGCAAGTCTCACTCACACTATCACGCATACATTCACAACTCAATTAAATTCAATTTTATATACATGTGCAGCTCCAAATCATAACAACAACAGAAAAACCCAACAATCAAACTACATCCTATGAGCAAGCGCTTGGTGATAGCGCAAAAGAAAAGCTCCCTTTTACTAGGAAGACCTTGTGGTTCAGCTTCTTGCTCAAGGATACTTCATTACATGGAATGGAGACGCTGGGGATCAATCAGTGACTGGCAGACACCTTTCACCAGTTACCCTCTCATTTCCCACATTTATCATTTTAAATCCAAAGATCTGCTTTGGTAACCACTACACCATCTGTACCTACAATCTCACCTCCTGAAGTTTCACAAGGAGCTACAGCGGTATGTCGGATACAGGTTATTACGTCAAAATGGGATTATATAGGAGATAGTAAGAACTTATAAAATTTTCTTTCATTTTCAATCAAACACTGACAGGAGTTAAGTGTGTTCCATAAAGACATACAAGTACTATTTTTGTGCTATTCGTTACATTCTCACCCATATCTGAAGCTTTATCCTCTTGTCATTCCTGTAGATGGTCTTGACCTTAAAGTCGATGCCCACAGTGCTGACAAAGGCTGGCGTGAATGAGTCATCTGCATAGCGGAAAAGGAAGGAAGTCTTTCCTACGCTGCTGTTGCCAATGATGAGGATTTTAAACATGTAATCAAAGTTTTGGTCCGTAGACTCCTTCTGCCCGTATGTGGCATTTGCAGACGCCATCTACGCAAGGATAAGCATAAGTAAGTTATAAAGAACAAAAGCTTGAGGAAACAGCGTGCAATGTTACTTTGCATGAAACAGCAGAAACACGTTACAGTATGCACAGTACAACAACTTAAAATACTGCAAACTACATTTGTGCAACCTGAAAAAACAGCAACAAATTTGTTGCAGATGTGTTGTATTTGTTATATTTACTTCCAGCAAATTTGCAGGCCATGTATTCGTGACAGTAACTCCTTAATTAAATAAACAATTCCTCTGCTGGTGGCTGAGAAACTTAATGATTGGTGCAGTACCCATCAGAACATTTTTCCACCCACTATTCCCTCAGCCAGCAGATCAGAGCTTTACTAACCTGCAAAAAGACAGTTTAATTGTTTTATATACTCCTAGAATTATCTACAAGAGTAGAAAATTGTTTATTAGTACATTTATTTTGCATTATATTTACTGTAAATCTATATCAGAAAACTAATTAGTAACTAAGATAAGATAAGATAAGATAACCTTTATTAGTCCCACACGTGGGACTAATATATTTTTTGTAGTGAAATAAATACTGTGTCCACTCTTTAGACCAGGAGTGTCAAACATAATGCCTGGCCCTTTGGATGGCTTTCAAAATTGTGAAGCTGGATATAAATTCAAGACTTTTAACTGTATTTTCACAAGTTTTACAGCTTTTTCTACAAATAAAGAGGTCTCCCAGGGTGATTCATACGACACCAAAGCAATGAAGTTATAGATTTCTGTAGTTTTACAAGTTAACTTCTTATAATTTAAGCTCAAAGAGTCACACTGGCAGATTTCTTTCATTTACTATAGCAGCAATCCTTTCTCATGCAGAAAAACTGAAGCATACTTCTGAAACGGTGCTTCTTTTTCTTATATTAACATATCTGATTATATTAGCATATCTCTTTCTGTACACTGAGAGAAAGACACATTTCATTGCCCACATAAAAGCGAGCTGTATGTGGCCTCTGATGTAAAATGAGTTTGACATCCATGCTTTAAACTCTCTCCTGCAAGCTGTAGGTACTGTTGCTTGAAAGAGAAAGAGGAGAGTTTCTACCAGCCTTCAGCAAAATTGAGTAGAAATCTGTCAAATTGAAATATGCTGGCACATTAAAGAGCTTTTACTTTATTTTTTTCATTCAGATCACTGCGTAAAAGAAACCCTTAAACTATCTGATTAGATGGTCTGGTGAAAGACTTCTGATGGTATTAAAATGTGAAAATACTGACTGCAAGAAAAACTACAAATTAGTGAGGATTCAGGTGAACTCAGCCGATGGAAACACTGGGCCAATCAACATGGCCAGCAAGCACTTCCATCTAGCTACTGTTCTGTTGAATCCTGTTGAACATGTTGAATTCTATAATTTTCATGCATTTTCCAGTTAGTCTTTAGGTGGTGAAATATTCAGTTTTCTGGCTAAATTTTAACCAGATCAAACAGACAGGAAAAGCATCAGAAGAAAACTACAGACGCACAGAAAAGCCAAATCAATCTATATTACCCACAAACATCCTTTGAAGCCTCTTTTTTTTTCTAAACCAACATTTGTCTGAGTAAGGAAGTCAACAACTCAAAGGCACAGAGCTCTGAAATGCATGTACCACATAGAGATCAACTCTATTGCAGAAAGTACCTGAGCTCTGAAAATAATATGATGCAACAATTACGGCATCATGAACTCAATAAGATGTGCCTCATTTCATCGCATGCTGACATCTCTTGTGTATCAAGTGAGCCTTACAGCAGACAAATATGTTCTGAAAAGGAAATAGTCTAAAAATATAGCCATAAACTTGTGTAAGTTTCCAGCACTACAAGGATGGTCTGATAGAGGGTATTACTGCAATCTTACACGAGATCATAACTAAAAACAGCCTCATGCATACCCCTGATGGGGCTAGATAATGGCATTACGGTCTGTTGCGTGAGATTTTTAAGCTACTGCCTTGGATGTATCAGGACAGGAATGAAAACTGATGCCGTTTCGCTCAGATGCTGCGTCACATCCAGCCAAAAACAGATCAGAGACACGAGCGTTTCTACGTCATATCAACACAGGTTGGATAAGAAATGCACGCCTCCACTCCACACAGATAAGAGGCCGGAAGTACTAAGGCTTAGCAGGCTAAGCGTCAGCTAAACTGACTACCCTTTCCCATCCAAGGAGGGCTGGGACCTGCGCGAAGCGCTTGGCTGTACAGCCAATTATGGATGCCCGTATGGTGGGCCAGAATGTGCTTCGTAGGGCATTGTATTTTGGAAACGGCCCAAACAGTAGTGCCCTCTCACATCACGTCGCTAATTTAAATGGCTTGAACCACACCACCAATTAACACCGGATCTTAGCTCCGCTGAGAATAAGCCAGAAATTGACAGGTTGGTTCACTTTAGCTAGAGAAATACATGGTAACACTATAACGCGCTTTCATGCACCTTAGCCACCACGAAAGGTAACAAAGGGGATTAAAATAAATTAACGCATTGCGCATAAAACGGAGGTGTTTCTACAAATAATCTGAATTCGGCTACCTTTAATGCTAACACAACAGCCACCGTTACTAGTATTTATATGTGGCAGCAGGGGCTAGCTAAGCATCCCAGCTATGTCAAATGAAGGTTACTCCTCTTAATTTACGGCTAAACACGCTATCAAAATCTCAGACTATATAACCGATTTATAACCCACATGCTTTCTGCTGCTACTGTCACACTTGACAAGGCCTAGAAATAACAAAAAACGCAGGGATTTACCATGAAATGTGTTTTCTCTTCGGCTTTACTGCAGCGGCTAGCCCTGCTTTGCACCTGCAGTAGCTCTTACGCTCCTTGATTGGCTGCCTCCGGCATAAGCAGTTGCTAAGTGTAAGAATGATTGGCATGAGACTTGACCAATCAGAGAAGAGAAAAGACTTCAACATTGCCAGAGTGACCATACAGCGCTGCGTGCGTTTTCTTTCTTAAACTGGCCAAAAGAGAGGACAGGCTCTAATAAAACGAACTCGGAGAATTTGAGAGTTACATGAGAGTTAACATACATGCATAAACCATCCTGTAGCTTGATAAAGTTAAGTAAAACTCTACTCCAAGTACCACTGGGTATTCTGTGTCTCGAACTGATTAAAGTTTGGTGCAGTACTTAGGTAGGATAAAATACAGAAATAAATATTCATCTTATCACTCCTTGATGTATAGCATTGTGTTTCTTAATTTTTTTTATTACTACATTTTAATTGCAAGGTATAATACATATTTTGCACTAATCTCCAAAACTCAGCATTCAGTTCAATACATTCAATTAAAATTGATTAAATTTAGCTTTATTTACATGACACCAAATCACAACAATAGTTATCTCGTGGCGCTTTATATTGTAAGGCAACAAACCTACAATAAAAGAGAGAAAACCACAACAACCAAACGACCCCCATGACCAAGCACTTGGTGACATGAAAAACTTCCTTTTAACAGGAAGAAACCTCGAGCAGGACCAGGCTCCGTGAGGGGAAGGGAGTGAAGGGAGACAGAACAAAAGACAGGTTGTGAAAGAAAACTAGAGATGAATAATAATTAATGATAAATGCCAAGTGGTAGGGACTATCCAGGGTCACCTGATCCACTCCCTAACCATAAACTTTATCATAAAGGAAAGTTTGAAGCCTTATCTTAAAGGTCGAGAGGGTGTCTGTGAATCACCTAAATACATTACAAACTGGGAGCTGTTTCCACAGAAGAGGTACCTCTCAAACTACTTTTAAATATATTAAGAAGTAAGCCAGCAGTCCAAAAGTGAAGTGCTCTGTTGGGGTGATATGATACTATAAGGTCTTTAAGATAAGATGTCTTTAAATACAACCATTTATCATCTTAATCTGTTATCCACTTAAGGTGACACGAGGCTGGAGCTTTCACAGAGCGAGATCCACCCTTTGGAAATTAGAACTGAAAATAAAATTAGCATTGAACAATGTTTGTCTGCAGTGTCACGTAGAAACGCATTCTCTTTGGAGCTACTTTTAAAAAAGCAGTAATCAATACTCATTTCCTTTAAGTGATAAATGCATTTATGACTTGCTTTTCTCATAAAAGGAGAAAACGGGACATCACAAAGTGAAGAGCTTTTCCTTTATTGGCAAGGCATACAGTTCTAGTTGGACAGAGGGCTAACGCAGCCACAGTTAAACAGCAGAGTTGGATTGTCAAAGCTGCAGAGTTTCAGTTTATGACACACATTCATAAAAATCTCCACGCACAGAAATACTGGTCTTGGTTGGCTGTTGAGACTGTTCGACAACGTGACATCTTCACTAAGAGTCAAAGAGCTTTCAGATGAGCGCACGTACTCCGAGATCCTTTATGAACACGTGATGCGATCAGATCAGTGATGACAGAGGAAGACAGGCGATAGGACGTGATCCAGAAAACCCAGACGGAAATCTGTCACTCAGCAATTTTTACACCAAGAGAAAAGTGAAAGTGAGTATTCGCTCATGTATAATTTTATATTAGAAGTGAAAAGGAAAAGTTTCTCACACATGAAGCCACGTGTGAGTATTAAAACCTTAGACTAAAAAAAAAAAAAGCTACTTCTCTGTCACATCGTTGCTGACAGGTAATACAGAAGCAATAAATAAACTGTACACAAAGTACTGTGAGGAAAAAGAACACTATGAATTAGTGACACACAGAGAGACACACACTGACTCTTTGCATGTTGTGCTGGTTATAATGTTGTTAAATAGTCCTTTGGTGTTGAAGGCATCTTTGAGAGTTGAGTCGTCGGCTACAGAAAGGATTGCACATGTTTTACTCCAGCATGTCAGTGACCAGAAAAAAATCCCAAGTTAAAAATAAGGCTTCAAAAAAAAAAAACAAAAAAAAGGAAGAAAGAAAGCTCAGTCACACATTTAAAACATAAGTTACACTGTTTCATGGTAATAAAAAAGTTTCTCGACAGGATGAGTTTGGTAAGTTCTCTGCATTACTTTCATAGTGTTTGAATCCGGCAGCTAATGTCACACATCTCAACAAAACACTTCTTTTGCACAGTCAATTAGTTCATTATAAAAAGGACCAAAGAAAAGAAAAAACAAGACAAGACAAGGAACTTCAGCCCTTCTGAGCATCAATGGTCCAGCTCATCCAATTCAATTAAACTACCAGGCCGTCCGTCAACAGAAAAGTGCAGAAGTGTGAGAGAACCGTACAAAGTGCTTTGAGTTTTTTTCCTTCTTTTTAGCAAATACTTCAAAAAAAAAGAAAGAAAAGAAAAGAAAAAGAAAAACATGAGAAAGAAAACTCATTCACCCGGACAACAAACACGTCACTGTTTTAAGACAATATCAGTTACTGTTACGGTTCGAACAGGAGTTCAGTGAGAGAGAGAGAGAGAGAAAAGAGCAGAGACACTGAGGTCAGATTGGCACACTGGGTGCTACAATCAACCAACTTTATCAGTCACTGATGGAAAGTAGCCAGTGGCAAAATGGAAATTACAGTACGGGTTGTGTCATGCTTGCTTGGCACTTGTTTTGTCATTGACTACCGGCGTGTCCCTGTGGAGAGCAAAGTACTGATCAATGAGAGGGGGAAAAAAAGAGGGGAGATTCAGGCACAGGGAACTGGCTCTTTGTAACCTCCTGGGTTTTTACAGTTACAGCGATGCTAACATCTGTCATTACAACCTCATCAAGACACTGCCCTCATTAGTGCAGTAATCTATGCTAGTGGATGTTACCAAAAACACTATTTCAGTAGGTAGATGCTGTGAAGTAAGAATAATGGAACTCTAATAGCTTAATGTACTCGTAACTCTACTGTGACACTGAGTTTTTTTTTCTTTTTTCTTTTTATGTTTTTTTTTTTTTTCATGATGTCTGTGCTAGTTAGTGTTTCTCAGTCAAAAGCCTCCAATGAGTTCATGTTTTGGCTCGAGCCCTTAAAAACAGACAAAAACAAAGGCTACCTATGAACAAAACTGCAAAGTGCTAAAACTTGAAGGCAAACTGATCAAATGGGCGCCAAACATCAAATCAAATAAAAATAATCCAAACAATAAAGCAACAAAAACAGAAAAATAACCGACATTTTTTTGGGTAGTCCTACAGTTAAATATGTTTTCAATGTAAGAACTTGCAAATCATTTACCACAGTACCAGAACTTTAGTTCCACATGTGGACACTGGGAGGCACCATAAGCACAGCCCACATCGCTCTGGATGTAACTCCTAGAGCGCCTAACGCTACACTGACCCTGGCTCAGTTTTGTTGCTGACTATATCTCATTAAGATTATTAAAAATGGAAATAATACATCTGAAAACAAGAAAAACAATATGCGGTGCCAGCTCAGTCGTTATAATCATTAAAGCAACTTTACTGCTGAGTACAATTAAATCGGCTGTGCAACACCAGCTGAAAGGAGTGCTACTGCATGTATACAAACACAGTGATAGAGTCACTTCAAATATCTGCTACATTTAAGGTGTTTTGCAAAAAAAATCCTTCATAGCTCTTCTTTTTGTGCTATGAATTTGCTTACACTTCTTTCAAGTTTGCTGTTAGCTGTAGCTTCAATTTACTGTGTGTGAATCTAAATAACAGACAACTGAATTTAAAAAAAAACTTACTAAAAATTAAAAACCAAAAAAACCCCCAAAAGGCAGGCAAACCAGCATTTGCAAGTTTGGCAAGAAGTCTTAAAAGACTTTGTTGTGTTTTCGCAGTCATTCATCACTTCCTCGCTTCTTTCACACAAAAAAAATACTCCGTTAGAGGAAGACACGTCTGTCTTTAGTCGTAGCGGACTTTAGGCTAGCTGGTAGAAAAGCGTGTATTTTTCTAACTTCTTATCGTCTCTGTGGAACTTCAGCCACAATTTGTCTGAGTGAGAGACACAGATTTCCTGTCCTTACTGGAACAGCGACTGGGCCTATCTGTCTCTCTCCAGTGCAAGTGACTGCTATGTGAAACTGCAGACTTTCTCAGTCCTCCCCCACAGCCTCCCGCACTCCCGTACTCCCCACCTTGAGTCCAGCTCTTAAACCCCATCTGCAGAAAAACAGAGGTGGTGGCGTTTGCTCGAAGTGGAAGGTGGGGTGTGACAGAGGGCGAGGCACTGAAATCAAGAATAATTAAACGAAAGAAAGTCGAAAGAGTCGAAACTATTGACTGGTGCTATGTGCCAATTCGAAAGCGTGGAACCCCAGAGACGCCTTCATCTGTTTCTCTTTCTTCTGCCATATCTTTCTCCGAGTCTAAAGAAAACGTCCTGCCCGAGTCACTTGTAAGCATTTTGGGAAGCCTTCGAGATGCAGGAGAGGCCGAATCGGATCTGTAGATTTCATGCCTCCTGCTGCTGCTGTGGCCCTCCTCTTCCTCAGGTGGACTCTCTGTGTCAGACTCCCCCTCTTCTTCTAAGGTCAGCTTAAACTGAAACTTGTCAGCAGAAGCAGACCCGCTACCCCGACCGTGTGCCGAAGCTTCCCCTGCAAAGGCATCTTCCTCCTCCTCCTCCTCCTCCTCCTGGCCCTCTGGGTGAGGTGATGGGCTGTGGGGGATCATGCTCTGATACCACTCTCTGTTATCCTCCAGCGTGTCCAGGATGTCCTGCGCATCAGGGTGCACCAGGTCGGCCCATGTTTCCCACAGAGGATGAACGATGTAGTCGATGAAACCCACCTGAAAGAGAAAGCAATGTTTAAGACTGCGAATAACAAACTCAGCAGTAATGCTTTGACTTAATCAAAGAACTCCATCTTTCCGTGAGCGGTTTTGTATCCGAACTAGTTTTCTTCCTGACGTCTACATCCATCAACCACAGGAAGCATGAAGCTAGATACGGCTAATTTTTACAGGCTGTCTCCCTATCATTAACCATCAGGTTCATCATAAAATGTATTTTGAGGACCACTTCAGTGCCTTTTTAGTTCCATTATATAAAAGAGAAGGGATCTCCAAAACCCCCTCACAACAGAACAATCTAAATCTAGGCTGACGAACAGCACCAAGAGGAAAAATACATGAATTTGATTTTGAGGCTAAGCTCGCGGTTTAGGTTATTTCCCACCTGGTTCTTTTCTACTGAAGCATTGTGCTTGTCACACATGGGGCTGATCTCCATGCCTTTCTCTCTCTCTCTGTCTCCCTGTGTGAAGAACTCCACCATGATGCGGTCTGTCCACTGGCGGTACAGCTCGAGAGGTTTGGTCGGGTTACTCAGGTCTGCACAGTGTACCATGTTCTGAAGAACCTGCAGTGGCAAATTAAACAGGTGTTGTCACATGTCAAATATATAGATTAGATTAGATTGATTCTATCTTTGTATAAAAAGAGTTCTCACCTGTATGCGATCTGAATAGTTGTCTAAAAGCAGGACTCCCAGGCTGGTGACTTTCTTAGTCTCCACCATGGTCTTCAGGTCTGCTAACAGGTTCATGTGTTTGGACATATCTGTGGCGAGCACCTGCAAGAACAACATTAAACACATTAAACCAAACAGAAGTCACTGGGGAAAAAGAAGGCCTAAGCTGAGTGGAGCTATACTGCACGTCTACGATCTTAATGGTCCACTCACCATGTCGATGACCATTTTGCGAAGCGACTGACGCTGCTTTTTGTTGAGATTCTGAAAAATATCACAGTTGTCTTCCTGCAGAAGCTTAAAGCCTACAGCCAGGTGGTGATTCTCTAGCACTGACAAGTCATTGTACATCAGGGCCAGCTCTGAGTCTGAAGACAAAAAGGCATAAAAAACTCTGAATGTAAAATAAATCACGATCTCGTCAGCTACATAGTTAAATACACTCAGCACCCACACACATTCAGATAATCCCTGCAGAGCTACGAGCAAACTCACTGGTGTTGATGAGAAACTGATTGGAAACTCCGGGGTGATCCACGTCGTGGATGGCGCTGGCGAACAGCGCAGCGAGGATCTCCAGATCAGTAAACACAGCCTTGGATGACACACAAAGAGAGACGGTTAGTTTTGTGTGTATGCGTGCGTGTATGTGAGGGCATCAACCTGGACTGTGTATTTGAGCGATTACCTCCAGTGCAGGTGTGGACAGCAGCACGTGTGTTGATTGGACCACGTCTGCAGCATGGATGTTGTTGTGGTAGGCCACATCAGCATGATAGTGGTCCTCCAAAGTCATCGTGAAGGTAATGAAAGTATCCACTGGAATCTTAAAGGACTTCAGCAGCTCACGTTCCTGCAACAGCAGAGGAGAGGATGGCTCATCCAAGGTAAAGATAAATGACTGATTACAAATTGTTTGTTAAGTCATTGCTTCATTGACTATATTGACTTCAGTAAATTCATTATGCACTTGTTTGCTGTGCCGTGTTTGAGGCTATAAAGTACAGGAGCCATACAGTACGCTGTGTGCTGTGATGTACCTGGAAAATGGTGTACATGGTGACTGTCAGTGGGCGATTCCCAGAATACTCAGAGACCTTAAAGATGTCAATACCCCATCGATTTATATCCTCAAGTTCCTGTCAGTGAGAAAGTATAAATACATATATTAAACAACATTCAGTATGCGGGAAAAAATAGAGAATTAGCCTCAGGGAAATAACAAATGAACTAGTCCTCACACCTTAGCTAGGAGTCCTTCCTGGCTAGCATTGACCCCAAATCGAGGAATGGTTGAAGGAGCGAGGCTGGGACTGTGGGTGGCCTTCTTCACACCGCTGATCTGGGACATAGGACGCTTTTTCTTGTCTTTCTCCTTGGTCGGGGGAGACATGATGTCCATGTCATGTTGTTTCTCTGCCAGTGAAAGTCATCCAGTTAACAGTGATGAAAACAGAAATGCACCACTAACACTAACTTTCCTGCTGTCATGCATTTCAACTACTCCTGTCTGAGCACTGTCCTGTGATTTACATGCATATCTACATGTATGTGCAGCAGTGTGTAGCGTACAAAGACGGCATATTTACCCAGAAAGGTGCTGGAGATGAATTCAGACACCTGGTTCCCTGAGCGGCTGGTTTCTGACAGCTGGCTGAGCTCTCGGTTCAGCATCCTCTTGAACTGAGGACAAACACATGCAAGCATCAATGAGCTTGATCAAACACTCTGTTTGCTAAACTGTGGACAGACTAGGTCGGATCAACTCAGCCGCCTGCTGGAACAACAGTTATCTCTTAACAACAACGTAGAAAAGAAACACTTTACAAGCAAATCACTCTCTCTCAAAACCTGCAAACGGTTCAGTCAAATACAAGGTAGCAGATGCCACAGATCATGCTGACATAAGACGTGTTGAGTCTCAGAGAAAGTCAGAAAACAAGCAACACGTGAACCTCAGGGAGTCTCCTACCCTCCCACCCAGTTCATCCCTCTCCTCCCCTCTCCTCACCTGAATGAACATCAACGAGATGGAGATGAAATAAGTCACTTCTGGCATTTCAGCGTAAAGTCAAGCATGGGAGCAAAAATAAAACGAGTGAGCTCTCAGGTTTAACACGCCTGTTCGACAGAGCTGCCTGTCTCGGAAAAATCCACCAGCGAGTGCTGCAGAAGCTTTGATTATAAGTCTGTGGAAGAACAGGAGAATTGAAGCATATGTATGTGGGAATGCTGCTGGATGCCAGGATGCAAGGCAGAGAAGGCAGACTCTCCCCGACTCTCCCTCATTCACTCAGTTACTGCCTGCCCACTATGTGTGTAAACAGAGGGAGAATGGGGTACTCTAATCTCCACCTCCTTTCAAAAATGCCTAAGAATAGCAGCCAATCAGACACCCGCTGCAGCAGCGTGTAGCGAAACAGAGAGCCGTCATTGGCCACGAGACATACACAGTAGGCAGGGCAGAGTGAGGTTGTGAGACACACCATGTGCACCAAGTTTGAAGGTATGAAGGAAAAGCTTTGAATGGATGGGGAGGAGGGTTCATTCTTGTAGCCAAAAATAAAAATAGTACATCACGCACCACAGAGACTTGGGTGCCCTGACCATTAACACAATCAGAGGAACAAAAGACAAAATGCTTTGACAAAGAAATGCTTAAAGCGGGCTCCAAAAGTTCACTCACAGCTAAATCGTGCTCAGAAGCAGATAGAAAATATTGAAGGATAATTACAGTGGTCTTAATGTTAAGCTGATTTATTCACTTTTATACAAAATTCAAACTTGGTAGTAATTACCATCAGAGGAGGAAAAAAATGCCTATGCGGCATGTAAAAAGCTCTTTTTTAAATACCCTACTCACATATAAATAACTCAGTGATTAAAAGAGGTTGCACGATTCCTCAAAGACCCTTTCTAGGGTCAGTAAAGATCCAGTTTAACAAAGCGGTTCGATAAGGTCGTCAGGGATGCAGAAACATTGTTCACTTCAGCCTCCCATGCACCTGTCGTTGTTCCCAAGGGCCGGCATGGATAATTCTTTTCTTTAGCTCATTGACTGATCTGCAGCAATTGTGGGGGCTGGGGAGAGGAGTGGGCGTGGGAGGGGGGGTGCCTCCAGCGAAACTCCCCTCCGCTGCCACGTGAGTGACGTGTGGAATGGTGTATGCATGAAGCAGGAAGCAGGAAGCAGGCACGGTACGTGATTGGTTAATAATGTAATTCAGATTTATGTGATGAGAAGAGGTCTGTTTCCTTATGTTTGGACGCTTCTATGAAGTGGGTGTTTGTGAGTGCTGATCGGAGAGGAGAGGGAAGGATGGAGGAAGCATGCACGGTGAGGATTCCATTTCATCCAGTGCAACATCTCTCCCACTCCCACTCCCACCCCCACTACTCATTCACATGTTTCTGCATATGATTCAGGGAAAAAGGTGTGTCCCTGTTTCTAGTCCCCATCTGCATGCCGGGAATCATCCTATGCATGTAAGCTTCTTCCATCTGCGGACAGATGGGGGCTTCTATTCATATTTTCATGATGGATTCTTTGTGTTAATGAGCCTTCAGCTTGGTTAAAGCATCGGTGATGGTAATTGTATTTACGACAGGCCACACACAATCCTTGGGTTTAGTGTCGTATTTGGGGCCTTTTCTAATTTGGGCAGGAAAAAAGCACAGCCAAAGAAAACATCCATTCATAAAGCATGAAAATGAACATGCCTCATGTACTGTCTATATTATCCATTCTAAAAAGAAATCGGATGCATTTCATTTCAAAAAGGGGAAATGACAACAGTAAGCTGGAAGAAAATGACCGCACGGCTGCAGATTGAGCACCTTTCCCAGCGGTGAGGTCTAAAAATAGACATATACAGGAATAATGGCATAATCAGCCTCCAAGGTTTGTTCTCTGGTGCTTTCTATACCAAAAGCCCTCCAAAATATACAAGGACAGTCCAATAAGCTTCCAACTTGCAATTAGAGCAGGACCAGAGGACCCTGTCTTCAAAACTTCATCTCTCTGACCCTCATACGTCTTTTAAGCAACTACAGCAGATGTTTATGCTCCCAACCTTGCACTTAATCCATTTTCTACAACTGCAAGATTCACTCGTGTGTGTGTGTGTGTGAAATGTCCAAAAGAGCAACAAACTTTCATCCAGTCTTTCAGTTGCCTAAATTACCAGCTTCTAACTTAGCAGGCTGTTGGTAGTGTGTTAGTGTTTTGTTAAAGTACCTTGTTGGAAGCCATCTCACTGACAGAGTGTCGGGTTTTCAGCGTCTCTAGTTGCTCCAGACACCAGTCCAGCTCATCTAGAGTCTCTATGGCCAGCTGCTGGTGAGGCTCCTCTGTATGTATATCACACACATATATATATATATTAAATTTCATCAGGGAGGAAATGTTAATGGTATTTCCCTCTCAAATATTGAGCTGCATTTTGTTTCATAGTAATTGTATCCATGGGATGAGGATACAAGTGACTTACAATAAGCATTAAAAAAAATCATCATTACAGGCACATGGCTGGAATACTTGCCCACCACTGGATTTCATGTGTTGTTGAACAACATTCGCTTACTAATTAAACAGCTGTGATGTGTTTCCAGTAACCCAGATTTCCCAATTCCCAATCGTGTTAATATCCTTGCCATCTGTGTGTGTTTGTGTGTGTGTGTGTATGTGTTTTTTGTTTGTTTGTTTGTTTGTTTTTTAACCAGTGTGTATTTTGGGCTAATAAGTAAATATCTCATTCCAAAGCCGCTACCAACCTGCGAGGCTGGTCTTGCACATGGATGGTGGGTTGCTGCCTGAAGATCGTGTTCTGTAGACAGAGACCATCCAAAGTGAACATATTAAAGACACAAGTCAGGTGTGGTGGTGAAAGAGCAAAAAGACTTAGGAAGTCTCCAAAACGCCTACTTGCTGGCCGTGCGATCTTGCTGGCCGGTTATGACGGCAAAGTTACTTCGGACCGTCCTCAGGCTGGCGAGGACCTACGAGAGGAACAAAGGAGTGAATGTACGAGTTCATCAAATGACGCATTTGTAATGTGATGAAGTGTAGCTTTAAATGCTCATAAAAGCTTCCACTTTCATTGAACAAGAGCTTCTCAACACAAATCACTGACTATCATTTGATACTGTGGCTCTCCACTCTTGGCAGATGTGCTACCCAAAGGCATCCCCCACTCCCTTTCTGATGTTTTCATAGCATCACTGACACTCCTCTAGGTCACGTCTGCCACTGCATCTGTCACCAAACACTGACTCAGCATGAGGAGAAAGCCCACAGAGTATCAGATGTCCAGACTTGATCCATGCATGAGCCTTATCTGCCACCATGCATATCTTAAACAGCATGATCCAGCAGTATTGGATTCTCAGCTCCTTTCACTGTGTAAAGTGAGCACAGGAGTGACGCACATCCCACGCAAGAGCTAGGCAACACCAGCGGGATGCTGATCCTGTCGCAGGGCCAACATGATCCTGAGGGGATGTTCCGGTAGAGCACTAAAACCCAGTCTCATACCATCTGGAGGCTGTTTTTTTTTTCTTAATTTGTCCATCTGCCAAATTTTCAAATAACACAATAAGTAAAACAGGCTGACTGGAAAAAGATTTCAGAGGACTCACCTGTGCAAACGGTGTGACTATCATGTCTTCTGTATGTCTGCAGAAAAGACACACAAGAGGAAAAAAGCATGAAAAAACACAAAATACTGAGAAGCTCAACTATAAATCCCTAAACTGTGATACCAAAAAGTGATAAAAAGAAACCTTCCTCGTATCTATTATAGTTTATTTTAATTTATTAAAGACATGCACTGCTTCTAGTGAGGCCGGTGAGGAAACAGTCGGGGTGAGGTGGAAAGGGTGGGCGACACGTTATGAACAGTTAAATATGAGTAAAAAAAACCCCAAAAGTGTGTTATTATACTTGACTCCGCTCTGATTAAGCATCGCATGCAAGAACAAACAAAACAGAACGGGGTGTTTTAGAGAGCCTGACAGGGGTCACAAGAGAGGTTTTTGATATTTAGTCATCGGGAGAAAGGAGGGAAATGATCATGAAGCCATCCAGAGGGAATGCAGAAGAGGCCTTCAGGGAACAGAGCCAGTGTGGGTTTATTTTCGCCCTAATTTATTTTGTTTATCATGTTCTTCTCACCGAGATGACAACCAGTTGACTTCCCAATGCTTCAAGCTTTCTTCCCTTTAAAAACAGATAGGCAAGAGGTTGAAGAAATCTGTGACTGCTTCAATTACAAAACTGAAGGTTTTCTTTCTTTCTTTCTTTTTTTTTAGATAGCATGAAATCTATAATGTCTTGCTTGGGGATGTAACTGAGACACACAGAAAAACAAACAAAATATTCCTTTCTTTAGAATCCCAGTGGAATAGATTTGACATTCAAGCACTTTGTGATGGGAAAACAGCTGCAAGCAATACATAGCATGTCCTAATAAAGTATTTGAGAAAGCTCAGTCTTCTCAAGGTGGACCTTTCTTAACAGTCCTCCTCACCCTATGAAAAACAAGTAAAAAAGTTAAACTGCGTGACAATTTGGCTTCAGAACTCAAACTGCAAACAGGTAAGGGAGCCAGCATGTAAATCGAGGCACAAAACTGCTTCTCCAGCCCGGAAACCTCTGAGCTCAAACAGATAGAGAAGAACAGAAAAGCAGAAATGCAAATATGATCCATGTGATCCTAGTGGTATTCCTTTAGGATAAAAAGCACAGCATCAGGAATGGCTGTTGATACTTTGAAAACTTTTACCCGTGTTTTTCAGATGTAAAAAGCTCTTTTTTACTTTTAGAGAACTTGATATCAACAGATTACTACATGTAAAGCAACAAGATTCCTAGGCGGGGCATTGGATTTATCCAAAGGGTTTGTTTTAGGCCCCTCTCAATACATAGAGACAGAGGATTAACAGTTTCAACTGGTGGACTTACAGGTCACTGGCAGTGGAGGAGTTTCTGGAGGGACCTTTGGGTGAAAGGTCAAAGTCGGAGTCAGAGCGGTAGAGGAAAGATTCCCTCCGCTGGCTGTGAGGGAAATTGGTCGGTCGGGCCAGACCGGAGTTAGGGCTGGCCTGAGGGTCCAGTGGGCTGCGTCCCACAGACAATCCATTCTCCACATCAAAACTAAGAAGACATAAATGCAAAGAGAATTTATTAAGGTTAGATGGCTTAAGAGGCTATTTAGGAATTTACCAGCTTGTAGATTTGATCAGGAAAGGAAATAGAAGAAACTGTCCATGCTTCCTGGAAAGCTTGTTTTTCCATTCTTAGACACACAGTGCCATAAAATATCTCCCACAGAATATCTGCAATGTGTGCATTTATGTGTACAATAGCTGGTGTGTATGAATATATCCCTGAGTCTGTCACACAAATACAGTTCAGCACTTTGTGACTGTTTGCAGCATCAGACAGGAGCAACCGAAAACCAGCTGTCAACAGCGTTATTGGAAATACACCGAGTGGCTGGTCAAGTGGGTCAGCATGCACTGAGGTGAGAAAACAAGCTCCATTAAGAGCTGCAGGCAGTATAAATGCAACAGCCATAAAATAAAAAGAATAAGGGAGAATAAATGTGGGAATAAGCATTTCCCTTCAGACCAAACTGACAGACAAACTTTTTACAAAATTCCAGTTACAAGTTAACCAGACTGCTGCTCCTCTGGTGCCAATAACATGGACACAGTTACTAAAAGATGGAATATTCATACCTAAAACATCGCTACAGACCTTATAAAGACTTCTATCACACAAGCTTTCAATCTGATATTGTCCTTTCTTGAAAAGGAAATAGTGTAACATAGAAGTAAAAAAACCCTCAAAATTCAAATTTAGAAGGGTGACAAAAAAAGGATAAGACATTGTGATATATATGAGCTCAGCTCACAGCTCAGGAAGTAAGCTAAAATCAGCACCACAATTCAAGCCGAGCAACAATGGTGGATAAGAAAACACATCCAAGTCAGACTGAGACCAAAATGAGGAGGTGATGAGATCCAAAGAGGAAGAATAGCTCTCAGCACTGGTGGCTGCATGCAATGCTATAGCTGATTTATAAATAGGATAACTAACCGCTAAAATCCATTAAGTGTGTTATTAGAGTGATCCAAAAAAGAGCAGCTGATTGGCAGGATGGACCCATTTTTCATTATTAATATATTTAACATTAAAAGATAGTATAGCATTTGAAACAGCGAATCAAGCGAAACCTGAGGCTGTCAGGCAACCAGCCTGGACGTACTTGAACTCCACAGCTACACAATCATCATGCAGAGAAACAGTAAAGGCATGAAATGTGTTTAGATAATGTGATGCTCTCGTGATACAAGTATGTGTATGTGTCCGCGTGCGCGCGTGTACATACAGATGAATCCCGACTGTGAGCGAACAGCAGAGATAAAAATAGCAGCACAGTACTGACGTGGGTTACACGAGAGAGGCGAGTCTAAAAATAGCACAGCGTCAGGTGAAGAGGAGTTCCTCCTGAAAAACACCGTCTGACTACAGAGGAAAACAACAAACGAAGGCACGGCAAGGTCCTTCTTCACAGTCTAGGCATGTTTCTCCTGTGATCTACATTTCTACTTTCCCACAGCGTTGCTCTGAGCCTTGGAGACTTTCGGCCAGCAGCTCCGTTTGGCAACGCATCTCCTTTTGCTAAACAGCGTGAGGAGCTCCAGAATAGAAATCCACACTTTAGTAAAACAACCATTAGCAGAACATGAAGGATTTTGCAAGGGCAGATGCTGAGACACACTTGATCCCTTTCAAATAAACAGAACGGGGAAACCAATATTTCAAAATAAAAATCTCATGGCGTAGGTATGGGTTCCAAAGTGTTAGAGAATAATAACACACAAACCCAAAATGTCAGTGATACAATTACCACAAAATCAGATTCTTGTGCAGCTGTGTGGGGTCTAGAGTGTAACAAAATGCACACATTGAAAGACGTTAACAACTGCCATGTCGCATATATACTCACTGTACACTGTGTTGCATACAGCAGTTGATGCTCGGTTTAAATGTTCGACTTCAAAGTGACCATGGCTACACGCCTACCTGCACCAAGTTGTTGCCATTCAACTGGCAGATGTTTCCATTAACAAACAGTTGAAGAGGTGTAGCTAACAAAGTCGGAGGTCAGTGAGTGCACAGTATAGAAGGTGGGGAGTAATAATGTGTTTTTCACATGGTCAACAGTTTTTGACATTTGACACAACCTGAGCAAAACCACAACTATCTGCTGGCTCCATGAATGACTACCTTTTACTCCAATCCATGAGCGATTGACCAACTTTGGCATTTGCAGAGTTGTGCTGCTACAATCCAGCCTTTACAGTTGCATGAAAACACTGCATTCATTCCTCTCTTGCTGCGTTCTGCAGTACTCTCCCCCCCAAGACGTTGGTGTGTTACTGGCTATTACATAACAGCAGAAGCTGATTTCCATGTGACAGATTCAGACACACTGACTGCATCACAGAAGAAAGTGCGAGTGACTAAAATGTCAGACACAGTACAGTGGGACTGTGCCAGCGTGGCTGCTAGAGTGAGCGTGCACGAATGACAGACAGGATGTGTGTGCAAGGGGTAAAAAAAAATCATAATTTTATGTGTAAATAATACAAACAATGAGTCCCAATGATGTACGCCTACAATGTGTGTATTTTAATCTCAAATTACTGAGGTGAGGAGATGGTCACGCTCTCCTCACCTTTTCATGTTTCCAGTTTAACCCATCTCTCTCATCGTATCTCTGTATTAATGCTGCTTCCTCGCGTGCTCTGATTATGAATCTGTTTGTATTTCCACACGTCTCTGTCTGTGCAGCTAAATTTAACCTCCGTTCGCATGTGAATCCAGAAAGGCAACACTGCAGCTAAAAATAACCTTCAGGTAGAATTCAGAGCCCTCCTCTCTCTCTTTCGCTCTCTGTTTGTCATCTCCGCCTCACAGAGCAGCAGATTCTTCCCTCCATTCATGAATATTTATGGAGGAGTTTCTATTTGAAGCTGATACCGAGCTAAAATTAGACCGCGGATCAAAATACCGCCTACGCCATTCCCCCACTGCTTTTTTTTTTTTTCGCTTCCAGTTTTTTTCTCTTTATCTCTCGCTGAGCTGTTGTGAGCCCAGTGCAGGAAAGGGAATCCTGACTCACTCGTGACACTTCACTGCTCACCTAGTACTCCAGCACCCCAGCAGACAAAACACGTAGTATTTTTGCATTGTGAAATCACAATCTTCTAGTTGTGGTTCATACAGTTTTATAACAAATCCTTTAATTTATGTGGCAAAAAAGAAAAAAAAAGGGGGGGGGGGAAGTAGCTGTTACCATGGAAACAAGCGATGGAGATCTAAATAGGTGATAAAGTAAAACAATAACTCAAAAACACATGCTATTTTTGAAAAAAATAGTTGTTGTTGAGGCTGTTAAGTTGTGAGTTATGGAGTTTATAATTTTCTAAACAGCTGAATTGCGATATTCTATATTCAGAAAAAATGAAAAAAGCAGTTTACAGTTTTTCCCGTAATGTCGTTTCACAGTAAGAACAGTGCAACCAGAATATTCCAGTATTTTCTGCACACCTCCAATGTGCACAATCTTTAACTATACAGTTAACAAAATGTGCATTAACTCTGTCAGCTGAGGCATTCTGTAGTCCTAAGAGGTCAAAGGTCAAGGTTCAAGCTCAGTGTGCGCATCGTCTGAACAGGAAGCTCCCACAGAAGCTCTGTGGCTGGTTGGTCTTCAAAAATGACTCCTCCATTGTCTTTTTGTTTTTCACAACTGGCACCCACCCACCCGCCTGCCCACCTCTCCTCCTTCTCCGGCACCCTTCCCACTCTCCACTCTTCTCTGCTCCAAGAATAAAAAAAAGGGATTTTTAAAAAATATCCCTGTTAGTGTGGGAAGGTGTTAATTATAGTCCCGATAAAACTGGTGATGAGTGATAGCTAACGTGTATTTTAGGTTCTTCCTGCCGAATTAAAATAATCTATTCATTCTCTCTGAGGACAGAGTCCCTCTGCTGGGCCTTAGTGAAACTGCTACAGCCAGTCAATGTTCATGTCTGAACAGAGAAAACTACGGCATGTTATTCATTTAATAATTTATTATTCAGATATTTGTATCGTTGTAGCTTTAGCACAGACAAAACATGCATTCTGACGATTTTGGGGTGAGTCTTTGAACTTGCACATTGTATGCATTGTAAAATAATGAGGTAGAGACGAAGTTTTCTGCAGATAAATCAAATTAATCACTGAACAAAAACCCGAGCTACTTTTGTTCTTAATTATTGCCACGCTGTAAAAAAAAAAACCCTGACTGAAAAGTTTTTCTACGTGCAGAGACGGTGAAAATAAAATCTCATATAAAAGCTAAAAAGCCAGCTGAAATGCGTAATGTGCCACCTGTTGGAGATTGGATATGGTTAAATAGAACCATCCTAATTTGGCATCTGCATTCGCACACCAAGCTTCAAAGGTGGACATGAATGCACATGCACTCACACACTTAATTACTTCTCTTGTCTAAAGACCAATTAGAGCCAGCATTCCTGGACAAGGCAAAGACTTTTAGTTTAAAAAAAAAAAAGAAAAAGGTGTAAAGAGAGAGGTGTTACCATGTTTGTTATTTAAGTGGTTGGCTGGTAAAAAGTGTGATTGATGGCAACCTGTCAGTGGCCCTGATACTTGACACCCCGCCTGCGTCACCGCCTGTCATGGCAACGTCAATCCCATCTGGGGAGCATTAAAATACAGGAGCAACGGCGAGCGAGAGAGGGAGAAAGCAAGGGCGAGATAGGCCTGTAAACCAGGGCAAGCTGTCATCTGAACCTTCATTCATCACTCCCAGGCCTTTGCTGTGACACAGCCAGAGGTAGAATTAGTTGCACCAAAGCCGAGCTGCGCGACGAACTGGGACGTTTATTCAAACGCTGTTTAAACTGATGCACAGAGCATTCGCTTCATGCAAGAGAAAATCGTGCTTTTGTAAAACTTGGGAGATAATCTGAAATGATTTCTAGTATGCGACAATGTGTCAGTGTGAAACAAAAGCAACAATGCTGTGAAATTATTACAGCACAAGAGGCACGAGAGACATTCTCCGCCCG